GAAGGAAGGAAGGAAGGAAGGAAGGAAGGAAGGAAGGAAGGAAGGAAAAAGTCTATTGTACTGTTTGGTGGTAGCTTCTAAAATAATAAGTCAATTTTCAGAAAACAAATTACAGTAATAGAATATAAAATGAAACTTACATTTTAATTTCATTAATTCTTAATTTCTTCTTATTGATTTAATTGTTATGTATAGGTTCCTATCAGATCTGAATAGATCTTTCAGTACATGTAAGTCTTATAGGCCAGAAGATCCATTGCATACTCAGGCAACCTTTTAATAGCTGAGGGCTAGTAAACCGTTTCATTTGTGTGGGAGAATGTGATCCAGTGGTGGGATTCAATTTTACTACTGGTTCTGTAGGTGTGGCTTGGTGGGAGTGTCAGGGGAAGGATACTGTAAAATCTCCAGTCATAGGTAGTATTTGCTGGATCTCCAAACTACTAAAAATTCCCACTACCGGTTCTCCAGAACTGGTCAGAACCTGCTGAATACCACCTCTGATGTGATCCCAGATTTGCTGTATATTACAAGCAAGGGTAAAGGCCTCAAAACAAGATTTTCTGTTCTCCCTATTTTGCATTGAGGGGAAGAATTCTACATTTAAAAAAAATTAGACTTTTAAAAACCATTTTTGTTTCTTTTGTTTGATAAATGTATGCAGAAACCACACTAATTAATTAGGTCCATTTTGATTAGAAGGGGCTTTTGAGGGTTGCAGAAAAGAAGGGTGGGTATGTATGTGTGTGTGTGAGAGAGAGAATCTCCAATTTTTAACTACTGAAATACTTCTGTAATATTTTTGCAGTAGATTCCTCTATCCATTCTAGAATGATATCTCATTACTTGGAAGTCGACATATCTGCTGGTTTTGTTATAAACATAATTTCATGTGGAGCAAAAGAATGATTTGGAATGTAGATAAATTGTATCAGTGACTCATTATTTTGAATAATTGATAGCATTGAAATTGTGAAGTCAATTTTTTAGAGTTCAGGTGAAAATAAACCAATTGCAAAGTCCCATTTCACATTTTCATAGTTGATAATGGTGACGGCAACTCAGTATTTTGCTACCATCAGATCTGTTCAGTTCTGTGCAACTGAAAATCTGAAAACTATGTTAACTTTTCCTCCAGGTTGCAAATAGGCAAGTTATAGAACCATTTAAAAAATCACAGTGACCCTACTGTTTTTGCATTATGTAATACAATACAGCATCTTACAATAGCATTCGATTGTAAGTACTGTATGATCATTTAATTAGACTGTAAGGAATTCTTTTTCAGTATGTGCAATCTGAGCATATGGACACATTGTTTGGAAGTCTGAATCCTATCAGCTTTTATATTGACCATAAGAATTGCAGAAGGGAATATTTGGAAGTTAACAGTAGTGAATATCTCTTGATGTTAAAGTGTATTCATTTGTCATCTTAAATAAACAGTGCAGTCCAATGCTACATAAATCTACCTTTATGAGATGTATTTGAACAACCACCTTTCAATCTATAATTACTCATTTTGTGCAACAATTTGTGGTAGCGTCTCTTAGCTTAACATTTTTTGTATTTATTGGTTATTTAAATTCATTCCAGCCTGATACAAGGATGGATGACAGCAAGGGAGCAGCCTTAGTACCCTGTTCCTCTGGACATTTCTGACTATATTTAAATACAAATCAGGAAATGCCACCAGAATTATTGGAAAATGTATTGTTGTTATTTTCAAGTGAGGTGGTATGATTTGCATCACAAGTTGGCCCCCAAAATACCTCATAAATATTTATTGATTCAAAAATTGCAACAAATTCATGCATTTGATAATATTGGTTAGAAAAGTGTATTGGAAATATAAATGAAATCTTCAGGTACAATGGCTTGATTTGACAAAATGAATTATAGGTAGTCCTCAGTTTACAACCATAATGGAGCCATTATGGTTGTAAGCCATGATGGTCATAAAATGATTTGTCATGTGACCTGCCTGATTTAGGATCTTTTTTCAGTGGTTGTTAAATAATATCAACAGCACGTATATATCACTCCATGGACCTATAGAGCACTCTCTGGGTGGTTTACAACACCAGCATATTGCCCCCAACAATCTGGGTTCTCGTTTTACCAACCTCACAAGGATGGGAGGCCAAGTCAACCTTGAGTCAGACAGGATCGAACTGCTGGTAGCTGGCAGAGTCAGCCTGCAATACTGCAGTCTAAACACTGTGCCATCATAGTTACTAAGTACTGAATCACCATGGCCATTAAGTGAATCCATTGGTCACCATGGCATTCTTGCTGAAAACCAAAATAGGTCGTAAATTATGGTTGCATGACTGCAGGATGCTGCAAACAGCCATAGATGTGGGTGAGTTGCCAGTTGCCAAAAATGCAGGCTGGGTGGGGGGACTTTGCCACTGGAACTTCAAAACTGGATTATAAGTACTTTTTCAGTTTTCCATCATAGTTTCAAATAATCACCAAGTGACTAGCTGTAAGTTAGGGGCTATCTGTATGCAACCAGGAGCTGCATATTTTTCAGCTCAAAATCAGGTTTTAAAATGTTTGTAGTCAGAAGTAGTTAAGTACGCTTGTTGTGGATTCTTTGCAAGTGCCACCAGGCTACCAGAATAGCAATAGCACTTAGGCTACCTGAATAGCAATAGCACTTAGGTTATATACCACTTTACAGGGCTTTACAGCCCTCTCTAACTCGTATACAGAGTCAGCATATTGCCCCCAACAATTTTGGTCTTCATTTTACCCTTTGGAAGGATAGAAGACTGAGTCAACCTTGAATAGTTCAATCTTACCTGTTTATAATGAGCCCTATAATTTTAAGAACCGAGAACTTAGAAATTTCCTTTATTTTCAACTTTTTCTTCTACCTTTGTATCACAAACCTAAAGGCAGAGATTATCTTGCTTCTGATATTTGCAAGTTTGGGGGATAGTTTAGCAAAGAGCAAAGCAAAAATGCTTTGAAAAAAAATAAATGTTAAATGAAACCTTGTGCTTCTAGTAAGAAAAGCTTGTTCAGATTTACCTGTGGCTGATATTTAGAAAAATGGGCATGTTAATTGCAATCGCACAATTAATGTTTTATCAAGTGCCAAGATGCTATGTGTTTTACAGAACTACAAGATATGGATAGCAAGGCACCATTTCTACTTACAATGCATGGGCTAATTAATACAAGTAGTCCTTGATTTACAACAGTTCATTTAGTGACTGTTCAAAGTGACAACAGCATGAAAAACATGACTTTTGACCATTTTTCACACTTACGACCATTGCAGCATCACCATGGTCATGTGATTTACATTCATATGCTTGACAACTGGTTCATACTTATGACGGTTGCAGTGTCCTGGGATCATGTGATCACCTATTGTGACCTTCTGACAAGCAAAGTCCTTGGGGAAGCCAGATTCACTTAACAACCATGTTACTAATTTAACAACTGCAGTGATTCACTTAACAACTATGGCAAGAAAAGTCATAAAATGGGGCAAAACTCACTTCACAAATTCCTCACTTAGCATCATAAATTCTGGGCTCCGTTGTGGTCATAAGTCGAGGACTATCTATAAAGGGACATTAAGGATAAAGTGTTGGGCACAATCTAGTTTTATCTTGCATGTTCAGACTTATTTCTTCATAGTTTTCAAACAGATAAATAATAATACTTGTCGTATCTTTGTTATGCACTTACAAGGAGACTTAATACAAAATAATAAAATACACCATAACAAAAATTAATACAGTAACTCACTACAAACCTATTTAAAATCCTGTCTAAAGTACAGGGTTTCACTAGGCTGGATAGCCGTATCACTGAAAACAGTTATTACAACCTGTATTTGAGTAACAATGCATTTCTATAGGATAAAAATGAAATGGAGGCATCCTGCTTAGATAAAACCTCTCTGAAACCTCAAGAGGATAGTGAATTTTCTTAGCTGACGCTCAATGCATTTCTCTCTGTTATAAACAGAAAATGTGGAATTAGACTCATTGTTGGGTTAAATTATCTTAAGATATATCTGCATGCTATCTTTGCCTTTTGTACACCCAGCATGGATTTTTCCGTTGCAGGCCTGCTGACAGGTTTGCGTCCCTTCGCAAACTATGCTGTAACCCTAATGGCTTGCACTTTGGCGGGCTGTACGGAGAGCTCACATGCCTTGAACATCTCCACTCCACAAGAAGGTAAAGTAATTTCAAAGGTCTTGACTTCCACATTTCAGTCATGAATAATAAAATAGGAAAGGAGCTAAATGCTACAAAGCCATTTGCTGGAAAACCCCAACCTAATTTGATGACAAAGTGCATTGCCAGACCATAATTGCTCCATTTTTTTGGGGGGGTGCTAAAATGAATCAAACTCCATACCCTTTAATGACATGCATCTTTAATAGCTGTAATGCAGATTAATGGGCTTTTTAATTGCTGTTACATTGTTCATGCAAGAGCCTTGTCATTAATATGAAGCATCTGAAAGATTAATGAAAGCTTCCTCATTTTACTATGGCTCAGAAGTAAATCTAGAGACAGTCTGACTAAAAAGAATTGATTGTATGGCACAGTATGAAATTGAGAATCAAACGGTTGATTTCCATGGTCTCTTTTAACTGCTAAACACCAGCACAGGCAACAATTATTTCAGCCTGATGAAACCTCAAAATGCCAATTGGGCCATTTATTAATCTGTTGTACTTGAAACTTAAAAGTTACAATCTTAAATTATAGTTCTGAAGCTGGTATTAACCACAAGAGTTACAAGAAAGAGAAAAAGTTTGCCTTTAACTTATCTCAATAATGTCTATGTATGAATTAAAGTGGAGTTCTCAAAAAAAATTGTAGCACATTTACCTTAAGCATAAAAGGATAATGTAAGCCAGTTTTTAAATTCATGCCAATCTAAATCCAGAGTTTTCCTCATGAAATAACATTAATTTGGTTATTTTACTCAGAGTCATTTTGAGAGTGACATGGGCAGTACCTACATTAGATAGATAGATAGATAGATAGATAGATAGATAGATAGATAGATAG